CTGGAAGGCAGTTAAACACATCCTCAGATATCTATCAGGGACTATCACACATGGCATCCTCATTAAACCTCTTCCTCTAAACACCATGCCTCTACCTATTTCAGCTTTCTGTGATGCTGATTGGGCATCTGATCCTGTTGATAGAAGGTCCACTTCTGGATCATGCATCTTTTTTGGATCTAACATAGTCTCATGGTGGTCAAAGAAGCAACAAAGAGTATCCAGATCTTCAGCAGAAGCTGAATACAGGAGTCTAGCAGACACAGTTGCTGAACTTCTGTGGGTTCAATTCTTACTCAAAGAGCTTCAAATACCATTTTCTACTCCAAAGGTTTACTGTGACAACCTCAGCACTGTGCAACTTGCTCACAATCCTGTTTTACACTCCAGGATCAAACACATGGAAATTGATCTTTTCTTTGTGAGAGAGAAAGTCCAGTCTAAGCAGATTGAAGTTCTTCATATCCCAGCTCCTCATCAAATTGCTGATGTTCTGACAAAGCCTCTGTCTGCATCATCTTTCCTTGACTTGAGGACCAAACTTAGTGTGGCTGAATTTTCAGATCATTCACCCTAAGTTTGAGGGGGGAATGTTAGGAATATTATAATACGTACATCTATTGTAATAAGTATATACCTCCAGCTGTTACGTTGTGTTGTTAGATCTGTTAATAAGTTTGTTAGAGTTGTTATAACAGCTGTAGTATATATACATGTACAATCCAGTATTATCTAATGAGATTTTCTTCTTCCTTTCTATCTACGCTCCTTTTCTATCAATGTTTTTCTGACATGTTTGTATTTTGCTAAATTACTAGTAGTCAATCATGAAATCATAGTTACATCACTAATCATTCATTTCTTCTTGTCCCTCTCTTCTTTTTAGGTTGCTCGTGAAACCAATGATGAACTTCGATCAATCAAAGTTGATCCAAATGAGGGGTTTGATGTTGGAGCAATCCTAGCTATTGCTAGAAGGTATAGATGCTCAACAAAGTGAAGTATTGTGCTCAGTTGTTTATTATTTTCCTTCGAGTCTCCCGCCTTGGGGTCACCCCATGAAAAATAATGATCCTATATACCGGAGGAGTGGTGGTTGTCTAGGTGTGTCCTGCCATTAGTATTATGACTTTATGTGAGAATGAACCTCATGTTGGGATTTCTATGCCAGGCAGTTGTTTAGTGAATTTGAGGCAACACGGATAGAAGCATTGCATTGGATGTCAAATTTACTAACTAGGCATCGCATAGAGGTAATGATAGATAACGTACTTATTTATTGGAATGTTATGCTCAGAAAAGAAACTGTTGCCCCTCTCTTAGCATCTAAACTCTAAATGCATACGAAGTATTATTTTACCTTGATATGGATTTTAAATGGATAGACAACAACAGCAACAACATCGAAGCCTTAGTCCCAAAAGATTTTGGGGTTGGCTAACATGAATCGATCCATGATATCAGTGCCAAAAAGAGAAGAAAGATAATAAGGAAAAAAGTGTAAGATAAAATGGATAAGATAAAGATTAATATAAGATATCAACAACATAAGAACATAACGAAGATAAATGATACAAAGTCTGAAAGTATATTTTTTTCTGTAACACTATGCCACTATGAAAGTTAGGTATTCACTCTGTAATTTAATTTTTGGAACAGGTCTTAGTTTATCTAAATGATGTTTTTGTCACACTTCTCAAGGCTCTCTCTGATCCTTCAGATGAGGTATTTTATAGCACTGCTTCAATTTTTAATTTACCAGTTTCTTTTGTTATGTCACTAATGTGGTTTTAAATTTTTTGTCATCATTGAAATGTGAGTCATAACTTCTACAATACTTTAGGTCTTGATCACTCTAATGTTGCTTAGGATGTCGGATTTCCTAGTGATTGCCTGAGCCTACTAGCTTGTAAAATATGATTGTTGATGTTTAACTTTAAGATGAATAATTGAGGGATAGACAACATGAGAGCTGTTTGGAGTTGAATCCTTTGATTGGTTGGAGTTTATGTGCATGGGTCAAACCTAGTTGTAAATGTTGAATCCAACCAATTAGCTAGTTGAACCCACCACATCATAAACTAACATCTGTTTCGATCTAATCTTTCAATTTGAGGCTCTCTCGCTCATGGAATACCAAGTCAATCATAACCTCCTTGTTATAAGATAGATGTTAGGACAAATTGATATAGAAGTGTTCATGCCAAGGTTCTGAAATTAGTGCTTTGAAAATGATGGACTTGATGGTTTTAGTTGGTAAAGAAATTCCATAAGCATTTTATTGTTTCTTTGGTTAAGTTTCTTCCTAGCAAATGTTTCATATTTATCAGTGACTTTCTTTAACCTTCATATTAGTTTGTTCCTTCTGGCTCCATCAGGCTTTGCTATCTCTAGCACTGCTTAAGAAACTTATCTGATTTCACAATTTACCAGGTTGTGCTTCTGGTGCTTGATGTGCATGCATGTGTTGCTAAAGATCCACAACACTTCCATCAACTTATAGTTTTCTTGGTCCATAGTTTTCGAGATGACCATTCTCTCCTAGAGAAGTTAGTGCATAACTTTAGCTGCCTAATGTTTGTGTGTGTTTCTGTTGTGTCAAATCAGCATCTTTTATTGGCTTCTTGTTTATACCAGACGTGGTGCTTTGATAGTTCGGCGGCTCTGTGTGCTTCTGGATGCTGAAAGAGTTTACAGGGAACTTTCCACAATACTAGAAGGGGAATCAGATCTGGATTTTGCATCAACGATGGTGCAGGTTTTACTATTTTGTGACACTTACAGATGAATATTAATGCACTTTAACAGTAGTAGAGATAGATAATGCCATAGGAAATCTCTTTTAAAGTGATATGATGACATTGTCGAATAGCTTATTTAGTCAGCTCCAATGAACCGGTGTTCAGTTTTTCTTAGTTATTTACAAACAAATGTTTGTTTTGTATTTTTTCCAGGCCTTGAACTTGATTTTGCTCACTTCATCTGAACTGTCTGAACTTCGTGATCTGCTTAAACAATCATTACTGAACGGTTTGGGGAAAGATCTTTTTCTTGCTTTGTATGCTTCGTGGTGTCATTCTCCAATGGCCATAATTAGTCTCTGCTTCTTAGCACAAGTAAGAGTCTCTGTAGGGTCATTTTTAAGCTGTTACCGTTTAATGAAACACAACATTTTCCTTGTTTTAATCTGTAAGTGATAGTTTTTCCTTGTGTTTGCTACTTCGGGAACTACATTGCAGGCATATCAGCATGCTAGTTCTGTCATTCGGTCTTTGGTTGAGGAAGACATCAATGTTAAGTTTTTGGTCCAACTTGACAAATTAATCCACCTTCTGGAGACTCCCACATTTGCTTACTTGAGGCTGCAGGTGCTTTGATTTTCTCATTGAGATGTTTGTTTCTTGAGCAAATTTGTACTTGCATTTTGCATTTCTGATTATGCTCATCCTTGCATTGTACATAAAACACGAGTAGGGGTAATGAATAGAGATTTACATTGATAATACATAAAACAATGGAAGGGTTTTATGTGTTTGGTTGTATCCATTGTAATATTATCATATTATCATATTATCAAATCAGGAACACGATATATCAATGCTTCCTTGCATTGATATACTCTTGGAAAACACATAAACCCTTCCATTGATAATATTATCATATTATTAAATCAGGATACAACACCGAACACTTCTTCATTAATAGACTCCAAAACACATAAAACCCTTCCATCTCTCTTCTCAATAATAGTCTATATGCACAAGCTAAGATGCCCACCTTATTTTAAAAATAACAAAGGCTTGGACAAGTGTAGGTGCTGTAAAACAGAGCAAGTAATATGGTAAACCCTTGTGTTTGTAGAGGTACTAAAGCCAATGGATATAAACTTACTATACTACCCAAACCTGCCCAAAGAAAAGTTTCCTATTGAAATACCTGGCATAACTCGATCATTTTTTACTGAATTAGTGATGGAATATCATTGGCCTCACTTTTACCAAAATCTTGTTTTGGTGTATAGCCGAGTATTTTCACTAAATAGCTGCTGTTAAGCATATCCATAATTGTTTTCCTGACAGCTCCTTGAACCTGGAAGATACATCTGGTTGTTACAAGCTTTGTATGGTTTGCTAATGCTGCTACCACAGGTTTGTTGTGTATTTTTTTATATATACTAGTACATCAAAATTCTTGTATGCTTACATATTTTTTCTTTTCTTTAAGAATTTGTAACCACCAAAAATAAATTGACAATAGTTCATTTTTAACCCATCAAATGTATCTAATAGTTGACACAGTCTCCCAGTTGCAGGTGCTTCTAGATCTGGACCTGCAACTAGTTGCAAAGTCGCGTTTTTGACCATTTACTAAGAAATGTGTCATTAAAAATAGGGGAAAATAATTCAAATACCCCCAACTTTGAAAGATTGTGAAGTGAACACCCCAAACTTGCGCATGTAATAAAAATATCTTGAACTTTATATAAAAGTTATGTTAGCACCACGGTCATATGATTTTTCTTTCACAAATGTAAATTTGTGATGCTAAATAAATAATTTAAATACATTTAGCATTTATGAGAATGCAATTAAGGATGTTTTTACTTGGACTGTAATTTGCTAGTCTGGTTTGGTATGGTCTGAACTGGTCTGGTAATGTCTAGTCTCTTTGTATTTTTATAACTATCCAAGTCTGGTCTGGTCTGAACTGGTGTAGGACAAATTACAGTCCAAGTAAAAACATCCTAACACTCAAGCTCTTAGCTTCTATTATGGAATTACTAATAATTCATTAGTTTATATGTGTTAATTGTATCCTCACAAATGCAAATATTTTAAAATGTGTACTTAACACCATATTGTGTACTTAACACCATAAATTACATTTGTCAAGAAAAATCATATGATCATGGGTACTAACATGTGAAATAATGGGAAAGAGGTACTCCAATAGGAGTCCTGGCAGGTATATTTATATTAAACGAGAGTTTCCAAAAGACACAAAGTTTCCTAAATTATATAAACTATTACACCCCCTCAAGCTGTGCGGGAGATACAACGCGCAGGTTGTCTTTTAAAAAATTAAACTGTTGACTAGACAATGCCTTAGTGAATATATCCGCAAGCTGCAAGTGTGTGGGAACATATTTCACGAATAAATCGCCATGAGCAACTCTCTCACGAACAAAGTGATAATCAATCTGAATATGCTTGCTGCGAGCATGCTGAACTGGATTAGCAGTTAAGTAGGAAGCTGAGATGTTGTCACAAAATAACTGCACAGGATCACGGATAGGGTAGCCGAGCTCAAATAGGACCGAACGTATGTGGAGTGTGTCCTGTACTGTGTATGCAATGGCTCGGTATTCTGCCTCTGTGGAAGACTTGGACACTGTAGGTTGCTTCTTGGACTTCCAAGACACAAGGTTAGGACCTAGAAAAATAGCAAAACCTGTGGTAGAGCGAGAAGTATCTGGACAGCCTGCCCAATCAGCATCCGAATATGCCACCAGACACAAAGAGCGGACAGATTTCTGAAGCCACAATCCATGATCAAGTGTACCCTGTAAATAACGGAATATGCGCTTGACAGCAAGCATGTGAGTGGTGCGTGGGGCATGCATAAACTGAGACACTAAATGAACTGCATAAGTAATATCAGGTCTTGTCAAAGTTAAATATTGTAATGCACCTACCATACTACGATACTCCGTAGCATCAGCAAGAAGTTCACCATCAGTGAGAGAGAGAGATGTACGAGTGGCGACTGGGGTGCGAACAGACTTGAGAGTGTGTAAGTGAAAACGAAGAAGAAGATCAGAAACATATTTTTGTTGAGACAAAAACACTCCTTTAGAATTTCGAACAGCCTGGACTCCCAAAAAATAATGAAGATCACCGAGATCTTTCATTGCGAAGTGAGAAGCAATACAGGTAATAAAAGAAGACACAAGAGATGGAGAATTGCCAGTAATAATAATATCATCCACATATAATAATAAATACATAACTGACTGACCGTGACGGTAAATAAACAGAGAATTATCTGACTTACTACACACAAAATTATGAGTAAGTAAGAAACTACTAAAACGATGGAACCACGCCCGCGGGGCCTGTTTGAGACCATATATGGCTTTGCGCAAACGACACACATGATGAGGAAACTGGGGATGAATAAAACCCTGCGGTTGACGCATATAGACCTCCTCTGTAAGATGACCATGAAGAAATGCATTTTTAACATCCAACTGACGCATAACCCACCCAAAAGAGATAGCAAGAGTAAGAACGATACGAACAGTGGTGGGTTTAACAACAGGACTAAACGTCTCAGAAAAATCTACACCAGCCTGCTGATTATACCCCTGAGCTACCAAACGTGCTTTATGACGCTCTATCGACCCATCAGAGTGAAATTTAGTTTTATAAATCCATTTAGACCCAACCACATTCTTAGAACTGTCAAATGGAACTAAATCCCAGGTATTATTGGAAATAAGCGCATTAAATTCATCTGCCATAGCCTCACGCCAAATTAAATGTTTTTGTGCCTCAGAAAAGCAAGTAGGATCAACTGCACTAACCACTGTGTTTAACGTAAAAATTGATTTGGGTTTAAAAATACCGGACTTAGCCCGAGTTTGCATGTGATGAACATTAAATCGGGGACCAACTGTGGTGATGGGAGGAGAAGACAGAACAGCCGAGGACTGTGGACTAGGCGGAGGATGAACTAATGGGAAGGGGCTGGTCGGAGAGTTGGGTAGGGTGTCGGCCGAACCTGGGCTGAAGGGAGTAGGGGTCTGGTTGGTGTTTGAGATGACCGAAGGTGAAGTTTGGGAATTGACTAAGGGTGGGGCGGACTGGGAGCTGACCGAGGAAGGTACCGAGGATGGGGTTGACGGAAAATTGGCCGAGGAGGGTGCTGAGGTCGTTGGGTTGACAGAAGGAGGAGTTGGATGGATAGGAAGGGAGGTAGCTGAGGAAGGTCGAATGATATTGGTAAGGGTGAATTGAATATTATCAAGGGGAGGGGAGGATAAGTCAGAAGAAGAAGAGGTTAGGGAGGTAAAGGGAAAACTATGTTCAATGAACCTAACATGACGACTGACATATATTCTACCGGATTTAGGTTCAAGACAACGATACCCTTTATAACCAGATGCATAGCCAAGAAAAACACAATGAACAGAACGAGCTGAAAGCTTGTTTGCAGAAGAGGCTGAAATGTTTGGAAAACATGAGCAACCAAACACACGCATAAAGGCATAGTCAGGGACTTTTTGGAAAAGTTTTTCATAGGGAGAAGAGTTACCCAGTAACGGAGAAGGTAAACGATTAATAATATATGAAGCCGTAAAAATAGCATCTACCCAGAATTGACTAGGAATAGATGATTCAAGTAGCATAGTCCTAGTGAGTTCTAGCAGATGTCGATGTTTACGTTCAGCAACCCCGTTTTGTTGGGGCGTGTCAGGACAAGATTTTCGAAAATATATTCCATGGATATCAAAAAATTGCTGCATATTAGAATTAACAAATTCACCCCCTCCATCACTTTGAAAAATTTTAATTGTAGTATTAAAAAGGTTTTCAACCAAGGCTTTAAAATTTTTAAAATGATGAAACACTTCCGCCTTTGTGTGCATGGGATACAACCAGATATAGCGAGAAAAATCATCAATAAAGCACACATAATTTTTAAAACCCAAATTAGATAAAACAGGAGACTGCCAAACATCCGAATGAATTAATTGTAAGGGCATAGTAGTATTATGAGTAGCATCCAGAAAGGGTAGATGTTGAGATTTGCCTAAACGGCAAGAAATACAGTCATGGGAAAAGGGAGATATACTACTAGTATGATGCTGACTATGTAAAGTACGTAAAATAGAAGTGCCACAATGGCCTAATCTACGATGCCAAATCGAGCCAGATGAAGCAAGGGAAGACAAAGCAAGCGGTGTCTGAGGACTGAGGCTGACTGGATAAAGATGACCATGACTAGGAGCTTGCAGAAGGACCGTCCCCGAAAGTTTGTCCTTAACAAAAAAATAATTTTTATCAAAAATTACAACACAGTTGTTATCAGCACAAAGTTTTTGTATAGATAATAAATTAAACTTAATATGAGGCACATGAAAAACAGATTTTAACGTGAGAGGACGACCAGAAGAATGTAGATGAACATCTCCAATATTAGCAATGGGAAGTTTGGAACCATTAGCGACACTAATAGAAAGGGGTCCAGTATAAATTGATTTATTAACTAAAATACCTTCCGTAGGAGTCATGTGAGCCGAAGCTCCAGAGTCAGGATACCATAAAGCAGAGTTTGATTCTCCATTGGAGGTCAGCAAAGCTGGCGCAGATGGCGGAGCATACCGGGATGGACACTGAAGAGCAGAGTGACCTGCAGAGAAACAAAGCTGACAGACAACAGGCGGTGGAACAGAACCAAGAATTCCCTCACCCGATGGGAAGCCTGCAGAGCTAGCGTTAGTACAATAAGTAAAGCAGGGATTAATATTTAAAGTTGACAAAACAGAATTACATGCAGAACCTGAAGTGTTTGGACGAGAAGATTGCACCCCCTGAAAATAAGCTTGCTGCTGATTAGTTCCAGGCTGACCGAGCCCCTGCTGGCCGATGCCAGGAACTGCTGGATGACCACCGTGAGATGGCGGTGCTCCTGCCGGCTGCTGTGCACCGAAAAACGGTGCTGCCTGGTAACCATAGGGCTGGTGTGGTGGCCCTCGGCCACGACCACGACCCTGGCGGCCTCCTCGTCCCCTGCCGCGGCCTCCCCTGCCGCGAGCTGCATAGCCCGCCGGCTGCTGCCCCCCATTAGCAGCGACTGCAAAAGCTTGATGACTAATAGCTGCGTGTTGTTGACGTTCAGATAAAATTTGTTGTTCGGCTTCAAGGAGACGGGGTTCAAGAATGTCAAAGGGAAAGTTTTCGGGAAATAGAGATACAGTAGTGGCAAGAGGCTTGTAGTCTGGACCCAAACCAGCCAAAACAGACTGAAGTAACTCTTTATGCGAAACAGGAGAATTAATAGCGGCTAGAGCATCAACTAAATTCTTGATTTCCCGTAAATAAGCTTCCATGGATTGGGTTTCTTTCTTCTTGACATTGGACAATAATCGCTTAAGTTCCATGCATCGGGGTAAACTGGCAGACATAAATCTAGTCTGTAGTCTAGCCCAGATAGCAGCTGAGTGTTTCAGATCATGAACATCAACTAACACATCCCGAGTTAGAGTAGCAAACAACCAACATCTTATTGTTTGATCTACTCGGAGCCAATAATGATATTCTGTGTTTGGAACTGGGCGATTTAGATAATCAAAGTTATACATGGAGGGTACCTGAATTGAGCCATCCACCATGCCAAACAATCCTTGAGATACCAAGAAGGATTCGAACTGTGTGCGCCAGGTGAGATAATCTTCGACAGCTTTCAATTTAATGGTGACAATTTGAGAGACCGTGGTGATATGCGCCACAGATTGGGCAAGGGCTGCCATTGGAGAGGAATGACCTGGTTGATCATCTGGACGAATCACACCCGGAGAGCCGGAGAAGGTGGAGCCAAAAAACGAGGAAGCCGGGACTTGAGGGCTGGAGAAGACCGGTTGCTGCGGCTGAATCGATGCCTGCGGCTGGAAAACTGGTTGATGTTCCGGAAAAATAGATGGCCTGGTAGAAACATAAGGGGAATTGTCAGCTATGGAAAAAGTTGGTGGTGGAGGAAAATTGGTGAAGAGAAGGGAAGAGGCCGGCCGCAACAAGGGAGAACCGGATGTAGGAGATAGATGTGCAGCGGAGGAGGTGAAGACCACACTTGGTTGGAGGATTGATGTTGAAGAGGATTCCGGGGCAGAAGAAACGGCCAAGCTCATGGCAGCCGAAGCCATAGCGGTGGAGAAGGAGGCGGACGAAGCCATCGTCCGATAGTAAGGATCGAGAGAAAAAAAAAATTAGGTTTGGGCTCTTGATACCATGTGAAATAATGGGAAAGAGGTACTCCAATAGGAGTCCTGGAAGGTATATTTATATTAAACGAGAGTTTCCAAAAGACACAAAGTTTCCTAAATTATATAAACTATTACTAACATACTCCCTCCGTCCCAATTTGATGGTCTTGTTTCTTTTGGGCACAAAGATTAATAAAGTGTGGTAGAAAGACTAAATAACCTTACTTTATTGTACGGTTCATCCTTTTACTTTTACTATTCATTAAAAAGGAGGGGTATAAATGGTAATCCACTTTTAGTTCTTTACCAAAAAGGAAAACAAGATCATCATTTTGGGACATCCCAAAAAGGAAATACAGGACCATCATTTTGGGACGGAGGGAGTAACTTTTTATATAAAGTTCGGGATATTTGTATTACATATGCAAGTTTGGGGTATTTGAATTATTTTCCCCTTAAAAATACTGTGACAGTTAAAAATATGAGACTTTTAGAGACGAAGCTGTAAATTCAAAGCAGTCTTCTCTTCTAATGGTAGCCTTGCTGGTTGAATGCCTGAATTTTCATTCTTGATCTCTTACATATGCTATTGTTGAGAGTATGAACCTTCAAAATTGGTTAATTTGCAAGAACTTTAATTGCTTCCTACAATTGCATTTGTGTGGAGAAGATTATTATTATTATCTATATAACGTTAAAAATGCTATACGTCTAAAGTAAATATGAGAGGGGTGTTAGAAAATAATGTGGAAGATTTCATTATTAGCCTTAATAGATTAGGATCTTGTATTGCTTAATACCTTTTCACCACGAACTATCGAAAGGTTATTAAGTGTCACTTCACTCATGACTGATTGACTAAATTTGAACACTTCTAATTGGAGGACTTTCATCTATTTTCATAGTAGTCAGTGGCGCAAATGGTGATCGCCATTTGTCACCCTTGGCGTTTTAATGGCTTATCGGCTATCACCACAAAAGTTATCCCTGGCGTCCATTATACCTGAAATATGTCATTGCCATTTGTGCCACAAATTGGCTCATATTTCAAACAGTATTATTTTAAACACATAGCCATTTTATTTTAACTAACTAATAATTGGTTACATAGGACATAGGACACAATATATAATTTAAAGTTTTAATACTCAACCAAGTCAAATATTACTAACAACAACCGAAGCATACAATAAGAGGAGCTGCACCACAAAACAACAGACCGCTAGTATGGTATGTAGAAAAGGTGTGCACAACCTAATGACCACTAGAGAGGTTGTGCGTCGACCAAGAGACCACCAGAGTGCTGAGAGAACTAGGAGTCTTATTGACTGATAATGAACAGATCATATCACTATAAATTAACTTTTTTTTGAAGACGAGATTTTTTTAGTTATTTAGTTAGTTGTGCTTGATTAGGATTATTGACACTATTTTGACTTGGCTTCTTTTTTTTAGAAATTTGGTTGTTTAACTCTTTTATTGATGGTTCAATCGCCACGGCAAACTGTTATGCTTGTTAGTTTACTCTATCATTCATATTACAATATATATTTGATACTCCCTCCATCCCTTAAAAAGTTAAATCTTTGCCATGTTTGACCGGCACGGAGATTAATAAAGTAAAAACTGTGTGGTTGAAGTTTGTGCAGATTGGAGAGAAATAACAAGAACCACAAATTAGTTGAGTAAAAGGGAAAGTGGATTTTTTTTGGGACATCTAAAAAAGGAAAGATGTCTAAGTTCTAAGGGACAGAGAGAGTATTATTTATGTGGTGATGCCAAGGCAATCTGCCTTGGCGCCATGATGACCATGACAACTATGTCTATACAACTTGGGGATCAAACGTACCTTTTTCATATAAAAGTAAATGCTTTTTTAAAAACAGAATATTCATATGGGGAAGAAGTCTTGAGGTGCACAGGAAGATTGTATATGATGCTAAGCAATTATTTATGATTCTGTAAAAAATGAATGCGAATAGACACCATTTCAATGTTTTCTTTTTCATTTCTAAATCAAGAAAAACGACATGTAGTTTGTTTGGAATTTCATTAGTGGAAGTATTTAATGCTCTCCATACCTTATTTCGCATTTGGTTTTATAACTGGTCAAGAAATTACTAAATTTGTTTTATTTTCAAAATTTGATGCCCCAATGAATTTAATATTTGCGATAAGATTTGTTTATACAGAAATGGCATAATAAATACTACGTAGGAAATATAACAAAAATTTGGAGAAATGCAACCATTAAAAGTTGTGACCCTTGATTTCAATCATTAAACATGGATTTAAAGTAAATTTTCTTGGTAAGGTTAAAATAAAAATTTTATGATTAACACTCAATTCAACATTTTTTCCCACAATCACGTAGTCATGAGTGCAAGCCTTGTGTAAATATGACAAGTAATAACTGCCTAAGTTCGTCTGTGTTATTTGTGCAGCAAAGTGGAGCCTTCAAGATTCTTCGGACTCGTTTGAAAACTGTGCCTTCATACTCTTTTAGTAGTGTTCCTCACCTTAGACAGACATCTGGAAACACTTATTCTAAAAGTAGTAACTCGAGGGGTGACACACAAATTTCAGATGATGGTGATTTCTTTGAAGATTCACATGATGATATGCACAATGGAATAAATTTCTCTACACGGCTACAGCTGTTTGAACACATCCAACAGCTCCATCGTATGCATTCAAAGTCACAGGCTGTGTCACACTCCCGCTGCAGTTCCAATTCATCACCCAAGGTTTGGTGACATACTATCTCATTACTATCGAATTTTCTTCGGGTGGTATGGTTAACATTAGAGCGGTCAAAATGGACCGAAACCCGTGGGCTGGCCCGTTTAAACCCATTTATTGGTGGGTTATGGTTGAAAATTTCTGACCCATTCACTTCGCGGGTTTTGCGGGTCAACCCATGCGGGTTGCGGGTTTAAGTGAGTTGGCCCACCAGGTTACGGGTTGGTCCGCGGGCCAAAATACAAAAATATAGTTTTGAATTTTATTAGCTTAAATATTGTTCAATTACTACCAATGTTATTATAATTACAATTAAAAAATTAGAACCATGGCAAAACAATATTTATTTCTATAATAAATATTCAAATAAAATGTTGAAAAATATATTTTATGTGAAGTTCGATACAAAATTTAAAAAGTAGTAGTCATTATTTACAAATAATCAATCAAAAGGTTTATGTAGATCTTTATTTTTATATACATTGATTATTTTTGTCGTGTACCCTCTTATAGTTTTCAAATTCTCGTATAACTAGTATTTAATATTTGTCAATTAAACTTTACAAGTATTGAATTTTTAGTATTTTGATTTCTTATATTTCCGTTGTTACTACTTACTAATACACACACACACACACACTTTCAGGTAATTATTTTTAAAGAAATTTTTGTTATATTTTTTTTTATACTGGCCCGTGGGCCAACCCGTTTAAACCACGGGTCAGGTGGGTTGGGTTAGGGTTGTAGTAATTCTGGCCCGCCATTAAACGGGTTGGTCCGACCCAACCCACATAAAGCATAACCTGTTTCGGGCCGGGTCGGGTTGGCCCGTTTGACAGCTCTAGTTAACATCATAAACTATAATGTTTATTAATGATTAAATGCTGGTAATCTGATTAAATTTTTTCTGTATGGTATCTCCTGTCAATAGTTTTTCCTTTTCGTTAACAGTTTGTCTTCCCTAACTTGCATGTTTTGGTCTTCGTATTATGATTCCATTTCTTTTCAGGGGATCCAAAGGCTTGAAGACTCCAAACAACCTGGCCCAGTGCTAGAATTTAATGGGCCTCCCATACGATCAGCACGAAGAAGTCCTGGACAGCTGCTGCTTTGATGGTTTTGTTTGCACCCCTGATGGATGGACGGATAAGGCCACTTGCACAAAAATTTTGGGGAATTCAATTAAGGTTTGGTATAGTCTGTAGTCTGTACATTGTATATCCTACCTTTGTATTTTTTAACATATGGAGGTTTGAAATAGTGGGGAAATCGTGTATTAGTTATAGTTGTTTCCCCAAGCTACTCTGGTCTGTTTTTTAGTTTATTATTCTTATAATTATTCTTAATAATTATAATTATCATAATATTGTTGTTATTTATGAGTTTTCTCTAGCGAACAAACTTGCTCATGTGGTTAAGTTTTTATTATGAAACCATATGGGCAGTAGGTAGATCAGTAGATGTGTAGGACTCCTAAGTAAGTTGTTTTATCCATATATTCCGTTCTGTATTTTATATTTATAACGAAAGTTCGAGATGGTTTTCCCTTTGTTCTGGTAGGTGCCTTTTTTAGCTGTGGTCAAAATTTTGCCCATCTCGACCAGTAATTCTCGGAGTGGGACCGAATTTAGAGAGATATGTTGGAGATTATTTGAATATTTCAATTTTAAAATGATATTTGACAATTTCGTGTAAAATGCCGGACAAGTTGAGTCGCATCACTTTCATAGGACCATCTCCGATAGTAAGACTTGTATTTGAAGACTTGTGAAGCTTTAATGTAAAAAATGAAGACTAACGCTTCAATTTTGCAGTCACTTGTTTTTTGCTAATGAACTAAACAATAATGAAGTGAGTGCAGACTAGGGATGGACCGGTTCAGTTTGGCCTGACTCAGCCCGGCTGGCTAGGACTGGGACCGGAGGCCTGAACCGGGGGTACTATGGGCGGGCTACGGGATGCATATATGGTGGACTGGCCCGGCCGGTTCAGGACCGGTTTGGGCCCATTTTTATTTTTTATTTTTTCTCATTCATTGGCTGCTAGGCGGGTGGGGCTAGTTTGGTGTTTGGGTGGTCGGGGGGGGGGGGGGGGGGGGCTAGGGTTGGAATAAATCAGAAATATCAATTTAAAAAAAACTAGGACCCGACTTGACTAGACACGATGCGGCAGTGCAAGCCCGGGCCCGTATCGGGCCTGTATCCCAACACCCTATTCCCGTCCAATCCCGATTTTGTCTCGGTCCATGCCTAGTTCAGACTAGCGTTGCTAATGTGGTTTTAAGTTTTGAATCGCTACACAATTTAATTAAAGTCATTCACAATATAATGTAATTTGTCAGAAACTCACTTATTTCAGTAGATTAAAGTCATTAAATTGATTCAATAAATTTTAAGGTTATCAAACGGGTTCTAATGTCAATGAATATGGAGTGCTATCAAATATTGCCGGGCCACTAGGCCGGGCTGGAACAGTGCCAGTTCGGGCCGGTTTCGGGTCAGGCCACCCGACCCGAGTCTAGGCCTACTATCAAATGGTAAGAAACTAAGAGACTGTTCGGTGATGTTACAGCACCAATATTGGCACAAATAGTGATGATGACAAAAAATATGGCCCAAATGCTTTGTACCAAAGATGAAGTACTCCATGCAGAAAATGCTTGCACCTTGGTGTTATCAAATGGTAAGAAAATGTGATATTAGAGCACCCATATTGGCACAAATAGTCAAATAGTAATGATGATTAAATATATGGCCCAAATACTTTGCATCAAAGATGAAATCACGCACACACTCGCACTTGAGTAAATTGGGGATTAAATTATATTGACTTAGTTCGCTTCAAAGGATAAACACATCTAACGTTGTACCGCACAATAAGTCTTTTTTTACTTCGA